ATTACCCAGCATCTGGGCCCAGTGTTGGTGCCACTGGCTAGGAGGAGGTGAACTAAAGGAACCAAGAACCAGGCCAAAGCCCTAAGCCTGGGCCCCTGTGATGTCCAGCTGCCTCTGCTGTCTTTCCCCTTTCCCACTAAGAGCACCAGACTTCCTCAGAAATCTGAACTGGCCCCAGGATGTGTCCCCTCCCAGGGGCCCACCTTGAGGACAACGAGACTTGCTTTCTCCTTCAGCTCAAATCTGCCATCTGCCACTTGGAAGAAATACTTTTTTTTTTTTTGAGATGGAGTCTCACTCTGTCACCCGGGCTGGAGTGCAGTGGCATGATCTTGGCTCATGGCAACCTCCACCTTCTGGGTTCAAGCGATTCTCCTGCCTCGGCCTCCCCAGCAGGCATGCACCACCACTCCTGGCTAATTTTTTTTTTTTTTAGTAGAGACAGGGTTTCACCATGTTGGCCAAGCTGTTCTCAAACTCCCAACCTCAGGTGATCCACCCTCCTTGGTCCCCCAAAGTGCTGGGATTACAGGCATGAGCCACCACACCTGGCCAATGGAAGAGATGCTTTTTAAGAATGGAAAAAAGTACCTGGCATGACTTTCACTTTTCCATAAAGAGTGGATGTTTTAACTAAAGGCTGCAAGAAACATAACATACAAGAGAGAAAAACTCATACAAAAGGGAGGGAGAAGAAGAATGAAGGGGGGATTCTGATGAAGTTGCTACTTCAGAGGCATCTGCAGCCCTGATAAGGGATTTGTACACTCCTAAGGGTGCACAGTTCTCTCTCATGCCATGTCTCTTGGTCTTACCCAATCGTATAAAAAGAATCTATACTTGAATTCCAAAGGAAGATGGGGAACAAGGTTTCTCTTGGGTTGGTTTTTTCTGCCTCGGTAACTTCAACCTTGTTATTTCAGGGGTAATCATCATCACACTGAAATGTTCATGCCATGAAAGAATGAAGAGCAGGGCATGTGATATAAAACTCGAGACTCCTATGACACGAGTGAAAACAGTGAGTTCTGCAGAAACCCTGGGGCAGTGGTTCTCAATCAGGGGAAATCTTGCCCCTCCTCCTGTGCAGAGAGTTGGCCATGTCTGGAAACACTTTTGGCTGTTACAGTGTGGGCGGGGGTACAACTGGCATCTACTGGGTAGAGACAATGGTGCTGCCAGTGCTACAGCACATGGGACAGCCCCCACTGTAAGAATTCTCCTGCCCAAATTGTCAATAGTGCCAAGGTTGAGAAACTCTGCCCCCAGGCGAAGTTGTAGCTAGACTATAAACCTCTTGAGGACAGAAACAAGGCCCTGTACCCCTTTTCTAAACACAGTAGAGGAAAATAGCAGGGTTGAGTTAAATGATTCAGTCCCAATTGTCCCAACCTGGCTAAACTTCAGATCCTTCCCCAAAGTCCATGCACTTTCTCTCATAGGGAATTTTTGATTTTTTAATTATTTAAGAGACAGGGCCTCACTCTGTCACCCAAGCTGGAGTGCAGTGGTGTGATCAGGGCTCACTGCAGCCTCAAACTCTTGTGCTAATTCGATCCTTCTGCCTTGGCCTCCCAAAGTGCTGGGATTATAAGAATGAGCCACCATACCTGACCATCTTAGACATTTTTTTTTTTTTTTTTTTGAGACAGAGTCTGGCTCTGTCACTAGGCTGGAGTGCAGTGGTGTGATCTCGGCTCACTGCAACCTCTGTCTCCCAGGCTCAAGTGATTCTCCTGCCTCAGCCTCCTGAGTAGCTGGGACTACAGGTGCCCACCACCACGCCCAGCTAATTTTTGTATTTTTAGTAGAGACGGGTTTCACCATGTTGGGCAGGATGGTCTGGATCTCTTGACCTCATGATCCGCCCACCTCGGCCTCCCAAAGTGCTGGGCTTACAGGCGTGAGCCACCGCGCCTGGCCCCTAGATGATTTTTTAAACATTACTTTTCTCCTGGCAGAATTTTCTGACTCTATAGTTCTTGTTAACTTTCCAAGAAAGCCCTGAATAAGCCAGACCCTAATTACAAACATGCCTCAGTGGAAGAGGCTACAAATTGAGTTCCAATTGCTCAAGGTTCACACTGACAGAGGCTCCCACCGTAAACCTGAAATGGCATGTTACACTCTGAGGCCTGCTCCAAGCTGAGTGAGAGGGGCCTAGTGAATGCAGGACCCCTGAGCAGACGAGGGTTGGGCCTCCACCCTTTTGGGGCTGCCTCCTCATTGATCCTTGGGAAGCAGCCCCTCTTGCTGCCTGTGCCTTTGGGAAGCGAGAGGGAGGGGGGAATTCTGGCCAAGCTTCTATAATCAGCCTCCAAATGAACAGGTTTGCCTTGGACTGCCACAGATTCTCACTCGGAGGAGAAAGCTGGTTCCAGCCTGGGCTTGTGGAAGCACCAGCTCTGGGCAAGCCATGCAGGAAGGGCAGTGGCAACTCTGCATTTGGGCTTTGATCTTGATGTCCTAAGCCAGGGGTTGGTCTGCAGGCTTCTGCTTAGAGGCCCCTCAAATTCCCCAGCCAGACCGGGAGGATCTACTGAAGCACTTGGCTACAAAGCTGCCTGCACTGCCCACACTACAAGCAGCTGCTTAGACCTGAGCCGGTCTAAGAAGATGGCTAATTATTCCCAGTGCCAGAGTCCATCATTACAAATGGGGGTTACTTTTGGATGTCAGAGTCAAGCTCCTGCACGGATTCTTCTGATCCTCTGTAACTGCCCTCAAACACTGTCCCTGCAATGTAAAGTCAGGATTGGCAGTTGTTAGTGTCCACTTAACCATCACACCATATTCACACTGAAAGGATGTTAGATCACCTAATCCAACCTGGCTTTTTTTTTTTTTTTTTTTTTTTTTTGAGACGGAGTCTCACTCTATCACCTGGGCTGGAGCACAGTGGCACAATCTTGGCTCACTGCAACCTCCATATCCCAGGTTCAAGTGATCTCCTGCATCAGCTTCCCAAGTAGCCAGGATTACCTGGTATTTTGTTGCTGAGGAAACCAAGGCCAAAGAAAGGACATGATGAGTCCACAGCGTGCAGCCAGGAGAAAACAAACCCAGGCCTTGAACCTAGGCCTCCTCACTATAAGGAGAGTGTGTACCACCCGCCCTCCCTGGAGCTGCATAGCTGAGCTCAGAGAACACAGCCAGCAATGGAGTCCTGAAATCAAGAGCAAAATTCTACCCGATCTATGTGGGCCAAGTCCCTAATCTCCTGGCAGAGTTTTTATGTTTTTTGTTTTAAGAGTTGAAGTAGTTCCATTTAACCCTTGGATACTACATTCTCCACTTAGAAGAATGAGAAAGGACAGTGCTGTACTCAGAACAGATACACAGGGATAATTCCATGCACTCGGTTCACTTCCTAGAAAAGAAACTGTCAGTCATCATCACATGGATTCTGAATTTTCAGGAAGGCACAGATTCTGTTTTCCAACTGAGAAACTGAGGAAAAAGGGAAATGATCTTAACTAGTGGTACCTGGAGAGGAGAAAACACAAAAGACCAATTCTTGGGCAGTTCTTCATGAAAAGACAGAGAATGACATAATCCTGACTGTAAGGATGGGTCAGTTTCTAAAGCTCCCTGGGAAGGGCCTTCAAATACAGTCTCCATATGTTTAAGCCTAGGAGGTGAGAGTTATAACCTCATATAATAAGAAAGGAACCCAAAAAGGCCTACCAGGTGAGACAAGGAGCGTGGATTCTCACAAGTGGGTTAATGGGTTATCTTATTATAATTATTATTAATTTTGAGACAGAGTCTGTTGCCCAGGCTGGGGTGCAGTGGTGCAATCTTGGCTCACTGCAACCTCTGCCTCCTGGGTTCAAGCGATTCTCCTGCTTCAGTCTCCTGAGTAGCTGAGATTACAGGTGCGTGCCACCATGCCCGGCTAATTTTTGTATTTTTAGTAGATTTGGGTTTCACCATGTTGGTCAGGCTGGTCCCAAACTCCTGACCTCATGATCTGCCCACCTCGGCCTCCCAAAGTGCTGGAATTACAGGCATGAACAGATTATCTTTAAATATGAACACCTAGCATGGTTTGGTCCACACGTGATATGGGAGATGAAATGGAACTGCACAGACCTGTTATGAAGATTCCCAAGCTGGGAACCAGCTGAGAATCTACAGTAAGAAAATGAGCTTGAAAATGAACTCAGAGGTCTGAAGAGGGGTGTGGGCCGCAGCACGGCTCCCTCACCCCTTTTCCCTGACACCCACTTCCAGCAGTATTGATATAGGCACTGAGCAAGAAAAAAGGTTCACGTCCTACTGGCGAGTTATTGGTTACAGGTTTAGAAGGGAGAACCGAGTCCTTGCAGCATTAGGAAGAAACCAAACTATTATGCTTTGTTCAATTCAGAACTCAAGTGCTTGTGCTCCAAGCTTCAAGGAGGTTAGAAAGGCAGTGCACCAGGGTGCTTTCTTGCCTAACGGGCCTGTTACATTCGACCACGAGCTGCTCTAGCCATGGATATGGGTTATGCTCACTGTTTCACATCTAACGTAGAGGCATTCCTGGTCATTCGGTGGTGGTGCCTGAATCACCCGGCCAGGCCTAAGACAGGCTGGCTGCAGCCTTGGATGCCAAGAAAGCCTTGGGAGGGAAGTTGGAAGTCTGATGTCATGGAAAGGGTCCTACCCTGTGTCTGAGGAGAAGGAATAATCGTCTGGAACAGAAAAGTCCCCAGGGAATTCTCTCTTTGCCTCTTGTGCAAGACTCCCAGACTTAAAGAGGGCTCTGGTCCATGTGCCTGGGGGCCCCAGCTTGAGCTTCTCGGCAAAGGCTCAGGGAAGTGGAGAGAAGTGAAGGGAGGCCCCAGTGAGCCCCACACCTAGTCTTACGAGGCACCTGGTTCCCGTGGCAGCCAGGGAGCTCTCAGCCAACCTCTTGAGGGCATCAGTGCCAGAGCCTGAATTCACACAAAAGAGCCCAACGTCTTGGCACCACACTCCGGCGCCCCTCTCCCCCCAGCACTGCCTCTCCTCACCTTTGGGGAAGGAGGTGTACACCAGCCTCTCATCGAACTTCTGGACCTGCCGGAAGTTGTTGATCATTTCTCTGGGGGAAGGGTCGTCCATGTGTGTGCAGTACAGGGCTGTCTCCAAAGCCAGCAGCTGAGGACAAGAGCAGAAATAGCCCGCAGGCAGAATGACCTCCTCACCTGCCCCCCCGGGAAGAGGTGAGCTCTCACCTCTTGCACCTGGGAGAAGCCTCTGGATCCAGCCTCTGTGCGGCTGGGTGGGAAAGCAGGAAAGCCAGAGAGCTGGTTTCTTCCACAGTGGGTGACTGCGAGCTGGGCAGCGCTGGGCTTGTCTTCCCAGCACCCAAGACTCGGGCAGTGCTGTTAGTTCCTAATTATACCTGGAATCTGCCCTGTGTGAAGGGAAACCTGGGGTAAAGGAGAGCTCCTTAGCCTCCCACGGAGATTGCGTTCCTCTTGTGAACCTGAATTGGAGCCCAGCTTTCAACCAGAGGGTTGTAGGGCTTGCTCTGATGGCTACATCAGAAGGAATGAAGGACGGAGGTTAAGAGTTTCACAGGTCGTCTGATTTCGGGTTCCATGGCATTTTCATGCACCTGCATAGATTATATAACCTGTTTCCAAGGCAGTTTCTGGGGTAGGATGTTGCTGCTTCCCCACATATTTCATCCATCTTTTGGTTCATCACATCCTCATTCCTGTCTGCCCAGCTGCTGCCATTTATCAGGTGACTCAGAGCAGAAGCTTATTATAAAGAGAAGGAGCAGCTGTGAGGCTGCCCTGGCTGCAGGAAGCTGGGGTGGGGCTGTGAGCCCGTGTGCAGTGCTCGCCCCAGCCCTGTCTCCTGGGGAGCCGTTTTCTTCTCATGAATTTAGGCTGTGGGGTCTAGGTATGAGCAGTGACATGGAACTCAGATGACCTAATTTAGGGTCTCAGCTTTGTCACTAAACACTGGGTGACCCCACAAGCTTCAACTCCTTCCTCCCATCTCCTATAAAATAAGCTTAGAGATGATGGCTAAGGATTTTGTTCCCCAGTTTGCACTAGACCTTGAGCCTCTTGGGGGCAAGGACCCTCACATAGTTATTGCTGCAATCCCATTTGTTAAATGATTTCATCTGATCCTGTCTTTATTCTGCCATGTAAAGGAACCAGGCTGTCTCCTTCCTGAGAAGTGAATAACACCCAGCTACTAAGGATATATTAGCAAATGCAGCTTGCTTTTTTTCTTTTTTTTTTTCTGAGATGGAGTTTTGCCCTTATTGCTCAGGCTGGAGTGCAAAGGCACGATCTTAGCTCACTGCAACCTCTGCCTCTTGGGTTCAAGCGATTCTCCTGCCTCAACCCCCACAAGTACCTAAGATTACAGGTGCCTGACACCACGTCCAGCTAATTTTTTATATTTTTAGTAGAGATAGGGTTTCATCAGGTTGGCCAGTCTGGTCTTGAACTCCTGACCTTGGGTGATCCACCTGCCTCGGTCTCCCAAAGTGCTGGGATTACAGGTGTGAGTCACTCTGCCCGGCCTTTTAGCTCTTTCTTTAAAGCGCTAGGAGACGTATTCATTTGCCTAGCTTGACTTCTTTTGAAGCTCAGCCTGGAATGTCTGCAATGCTTTCAGACACCTGTGATATTTGGAGAAGTTTTGAAGAGCTGCCAATGAAGTTAAGTGAGGAAATCAAGTTGTTGATTATAATGGGGTGATGATAGGGACTGAGGTGCTCCGTGGACTCTGGCTGAGTCCAGCACAACAGTTACCTGCTCCTGGGAAATTTGCACAGGGTTTCGGAAAACTGTCCAGAGCACAGTGGGGTTGCAAGGGGGTGTGGTCAGGGACCCCTGGTAGCGGTAATACTCAGCAGTCCTCTCCGGAAGCAGCTCTTCAATGTTGAATCCCGGGATGAATGCTTCCTGGCCTAGGGAGACATGTTGCGGGGGTGATGGTGTCAGCCTCACTCCCTGGGGCATAAGTGCAGATCAGCAGAGTGTCTGAGCCTAGAAACATGAACCAGCCCCTCTCAGGGTCATCTCACCCCAGGACCTGGTTACAACACTGCTCAACGACCTACTACTTATAACCTGCTGAACACAAGGCAGCACCTTCCCCTTGATTTGTTTTTCTCAAAGTCACACAAGGCTGACTACCTCCTTCTCCAGCAGAGAGTGAATATGCATGCAAGGACCCCTCACCTTTGTACTTTACACGTTGAAGGTGACTGAAGATCTTGTCATAGGACGGATTGAAGGACCCCATCTGCAGCAGAGACAGGGCAGGTTAAACTGGGGCAGAACAGGAGAGGCTGAGCCAGTACTGACCACTGCTATCAGAAGGGCGAGGCTGCAGGTATGTTGCCACCACTGCCAAGGTCCTTCCCGAAGGATCCACTTTACTGAACAATGATGATGGATCACTAGGCTGTCGAGAGTTAGGGTAATGGTCCTGCCTGCTTGCATCTCAGGATGTCCTGTTTTCAGCTTAAGGCATTGGGCTTGAATGTCCCGGAGTATGGGGTACAGTGTGTGCTCTTGATGATCCAGATGTGAGCCTGAAGGATGTGACTAACACCCACATCACCCAGAACTTAAGGAGCTCTGAGTTCACAAAAGCCACATCAGACAAATGAGCACGTTGGGAAATGAGCTACATGCTGCCTCATTAGGAAAAAAGCATGCAAGCCAATCAGAAGACGTCAGTGTTTCTTGGGATAAAGAAAGAATCCATTCCAGAGTTCATATACAGCAGGGGTCTCCAACCCCCAGGCTGTGGACTGGTACTGGTCTGTGGTCTGTTAAGAACTGGGCCACACAGCAGGAGGTGAGCAGTAGGCAAGCAAGCATTACTGCCTGAGCTCCGCCTTCTGGCAAAGCAGCAGAGGCATTCAAGTCTCATAGGAGAGCAAACCCTATTGTGAACTGTGCAAGCAATGGATCTAGGCTGTGTGTTCCTTATGAGAATCTAACTTGATGATCTGAGGTGGAACAGTTTCATCCCAAAACCATCCACCTCCCTGCTCCCTGGTCGGTGGAAAAACTGTCTTCTATGAAACTGGTCCCTGATGCCAAAAAGACTAGGGACCACTGATCTACAGGATGAAGCTTGGATAGCAGGAGTTGTATCAAGGGTTCAGGCGTCCGATGGGGCAGATGGAGTATGATGATCCCTTTCCAGCACAGGTCCTTCCCAGCTGGGCAATTCCATGCCTTATGCAACAGGGCGAGACGTTAAGGCTCATTTTTCTAATGGACCAAAGAACATTCCCCATTGCCACTGCCCAGCCACAGAAAAATGCTGCCTCCAGGCAAAGAGAGAAGGGGCACTAGAGGGGGATACCCCCTGCTCTGGAGTTGACATAGAGCTGATACAGGAGCAGCAGATTACCAACAGGTGTGCATGGAACCAAAGGTGGAATCCCAATCTCATCCCTGCTTCAAATTTGACATGAGAACCTTTTCAATATCTCTTACCTCAATGAGAACAGCTAGGACAGCGAGGCCTTCTGACTTGTTGCTGGCACTGCTGGCATTGGGATACAGGTCTGAGTTATAATGAACGATGTGCAGCTGCAGTGGAGAAAAAGAAAATGAGGGGTCCTGCATGCATATTATCAGGAGATAAGCAACTCATGAGAGCCTGTCACTTCTGCAGAAGACTTGAATCCAACTGGGAGGACAGAACCCCAGCCCCTTAGCCCCCCAAACTAGCTTAGGTCTCTCAGATCCTCCCCTTATTTTGCCAAGGATAAGGACATGTGCCCAAGGTGGTCAGGGCACAGCTTCCTTTGATGCATTTTAGAGACATAATACATCAATCGTACATGCAATATACACTGGTTTGATCTGGAAGGGCAGGATGACTCGAAATGGAGGCTTCCAGGACATAGGTAGATTTCCATTTTTTCTGACTGGCAACTGGTTGAGAGTTACTATCAATAGAAAGGAATGTCTGAGCTCCGATAAGAGACCAAGATTTTATCATGCAGATGAAGCCTCCAAGTAACACCCTTCAGAGAGAAGAGACTGTAAATATTTCTTATCAGATCTAAGGTCTATGTTGATGTTAATGCTGGTGAGCTTTTTCTGAATTCCAAAAGGGAGGAGGGTATCCTGAGTCATGTCCAACTCCGTCTTCCCATCATGGCCTGAACTAGTTTTCATGTTAACTTTGGAATGCCCTTGGCCAAGAGGAGGGGTCTATTCAGATGGCTGGGGGAAGTGTGGGGGTCTTAGATTTATTTTGGTTTACACAACACATGCATTTTTGTTGGTTCTTTGTCCTTGAGACTATGACATATTGAGATTTTATCTCTATTTCTTTTCTCTTTTCATTCATCCTTTTCCATCTCATATGTTTATAAATACAATTCAAACCTATGTTATTGAATACAGCTTAATTTCCCCATTTTGAACTTTAAATGGCTCCTTCTAATTAAAAAAAATATATATATATATATATATATATATATATATATATATATGGCAATCAAATTATTTCTTCTTTCTTTTTTTGAGACAGAGTTTTGCTCTTGTTGCCCAGGCTGGAGTGCAGTGGCACCATCTAGGCCCATCACAACCTCCTCCTTCTGGGTTCAAGTGATTCTCCTGCCTCACCTCCCGAGTAGCTGGGATTACAGGTGTGCGCCACCACACCCAGCTAATTTTGTATTTTTAGTAGAGACAGGGTTTCTCTGTGTTGGTCAGGCTCATCTCGAACTCCCAACCTCAGGTGATCTGCCTGCCTCAGCCTCCCAAAGTGCTGGGATTACAGGCCTGAGCCACTGTACCTGGCCTATTTCTTTTAAGTGGTCCTCTGTGAAGGATTTCTTCAGGCCTCCTGCTTCACTATCTTCCCCTCAAAGGACTTAGTCTGCCACACTGCCCACCCCGTCTTGGCTTGGCATCACTTTGAGAAATAAAGCTGACTTCGATATGATTAAAACCCCTGAGGTCCTAAGTCCCTATTTCTTTTTACAGCTGACCTTTGAACTTGTGGTTTGTCTAAGTACTTTTGTTATTGGGTTCGGGGAAGTGAAGACAAATCCAAGCATAAAGGAACTCCCTGTTGTGGAGATTAAGATAGAATCTTATATGGACTCCATCCAAAAGAACCACTACACTCCCAAGGACCTTTCTTAGAGGACCCACTTTAGGGGCACCTTGATGTCTTTTCTCTAGTATTGGCATTTATGGTCCATCTTAACCAGACCCTTGGTCTGATGATGTGACTTAATAGCAGAAAATACAAGAAGTAGAAATATTTTTAAATACACAAACCCTGCCAACCTACACCCTAACCTCCTTTGTGAAAGGAAAATAAATCTTAAAACCCCAAAATCACTAAGCCAAAGGGAAAAGTCAAGCTGGGAACTGCATCAGGCAAACCTGCCTCTCTTTCTATTCCTAAATAAGACGGCTACAAAGATTAAAAAAAAAAAAAAAAAAAAAAAAAGCTACACATCTCCCTCACATTTTGCCCATGAGGAAATTCACTGTGGGCCCCAAGGTGTTTACACTAAAACTGTTCTGTTGAATTTCACCCAAACAATGTAAATTGGTAACTTATCTTCACAGGATCAGGACAAAGGACAGAACTCAAAGTCATCCCTCTGCTCACCTGAGACAAATTCATATCTAATTGCTTTCTCTGCCCATGTCCATTTTATCTTGTAAGAATGCAGATTCGCTGAGCTATCTGAATGCACACGTGACTATTCCTCTACTCCTCTCTCACATGTGAACACTGATCAAAGACTCAGAAGCACCTCTTGACTTTTGCCTCCCCACACCTTTTAAACATTTCTCCCTCTTTCCCCAACATCTGTCCTTTCCCCTTTAAATATTGAAGCCCTCACTATCATCTTTGGAGAAAGGCACAGACTTTTCTGTCTCCCATGCATGTGTCCTTAACCGTGGCAAAATAAACTTCTAAATGGACTGAGACCAGTCTCAGACACTTTTTGGTTTACAACTTCTTTATTCCCTATGGGGGAAGCAGAGGTCTCAACACTGCAATTTGGTAGCCTGGAGGAAATTTCAGTTCTTGAGCTTCAGGGAAGGGGCTGCTCTGAAATATGTGAACCTCCAGTGGTGCCATCCTATTGAGCCAGACCCTATCGCCTCCAGGCTTGGAAGTAGACCTGTGATTAGCCTGAGACATTAAGCAGTTCAGCAGTCTTGAAAGGCAGGGAACGGTCACATCACTATTTGCCCTGGACTCCCCTGGCTGATCAGTCAGCAGCCTTTACCTCCTTGTATTTCCCTGTAAACATTCAGAGCCACACCCCTACTTCAGGGCTATGGGAGTGCCAGAGTGGAGCATCTCAACCCTCTCCTCGCCCCACCCCATCCCACAATTGCCTAGGGACAAATGCTCTGCCCTCCTCTAATTTTCTTCTGGCATTTTGCAGTAGCACCTCAAGGTGACATGACAAGATGCTGTGCTGGCTGACATCCCATCCCTCGTGAGTCTGCTTGCCATGATGTCCTGCACGTTGGACGGCCAGGCATCCCTAGACTTGCAGCAGGTGGGAGAGTGGCCCTAGACCATGTCCCCGTGTTCTAAACACAACCCATACTCAAAGAAAGGAAAGACAGCATCAAAAAGATGCAGAGAGTGTGACACAGGAAGAAAGGCTGAGAAGTTCTGGGGAGCAATGAGCTCAGTGTGAGTCAGCAGGAGATTTCTGTCTGCACAGACAAGAAGTCAATGTCTAAAAGAAGGGCATGTATGTCCTGCTGGGAACACTGCCTCCCCGGCATCATCACTCAGTAAAAGTCACAGAGACAAACTCAGCATGTTTAGGAGAAGCAAGGGACCAGGATATGCAGATGAGCTGCAGGCTGGTGGAGTGGCGGCACCCCCCTGTGCCAGGGCCAGAGGTGGCGCAGAGAGCCTGAAGGCAGCCTGTCCCATGCTCTGATGTTATCTGCACAGCAGCCAGGTGGAGAGGGTGCCACACCACCCACTGCAGAGCAGCCTCTGCCGAATGGCAGCCCTACTTACCTCGGCGGCGAAGTGCTTTCCGCTGATGGTGTGCTCAGAGCCATGCGGGTCCTTCGGGTTCCCCCAATGCAGGTGCAGCTGTGTGGCATTGTAGCGAGACTGGAGCCCCTGGATGTGCATGTGCGAGGGCAGGGTCAGCTTCACTGCGGGGAGTGGAGGAACAGCCTTCAGAGCCCTGGCCAGCTGTGCGGTGCCAGAGAGCAGTCATGTAGGCAACGCTCCCTCCACCCCTGCCCCCACCCCCCGGACCCCAGAGAGAGAGAGCTGGATGGAGCGAGGTGCAGAGCAGAGATGCAGCCTCGAGGTCAGACACCTGGGCTCTTTCCCTGAGAATGTCCCCTTTTCCCCAAAGCAACTCCGGTGGCACCCGCATCTTCTTGGTTCTCCTTGGAAAATGATGCCAGAAACACTAATCCTAGACCAATGGATGGGTGTTTATTTACACCATGATGGATCAGACACCTGGAGCCTTTGGTGAAGTACCTTCCAAGCTTTAAAATTACATAACAACAACAATAACTGCTATTTATGAAGCATTTACTTCACCCTATATGCCAGACCCCAACATACATAATCTCCAGCCTTCACGGTACCCATCAATATGTCCATTTCCAGATGGAAGCTGAAAGAGGCTAAAATTCTCACCTAGAGTCTCATGGCTCATAAGCAGTCAAGCCAGGGTTCAAATCTAGGTTGGTCGGACTCCAAAGCCTGGGTGCCCTCCCACCCCCCAAAACTGTGTGGTTCCTTGAGTTGTTTATGATGGTCCGGAATTCACTCCAGCTGCACAGCCAGAGAACCGCAGGGCTCAGCTTGTCTCCTGCCCCCTCCTGAGAGATGTGCTGCTTCTGGGAAGTGCAGCCCTGGCAGGACTGTGGGAGCCCAGGGCTTCCAGCATCCCCTGAAGAGAGTGCTCCAGGAATCTCTCAAAGGTGCTCCCGCCCCATCCCTTCTCCCGGGTGCCTTGGCAGAACCTCTTCCTGCCAGATGGAAAAGGGCAGGCCTGGAAGCCGAAGGAGGCTCAGCCATACCCCCCAGGTCTCTGAGGCCTCCCCCTCACCTGAATGGCCATTGTTGGTCAGGAGAAACTGCTCATTGGTAGACAGATTGTAGCCTTGGAACGTGAGGGGCGTGAGGCTGGCGTCATACTGGAGGATGTCGCTGTGCAGGTCTATGGGGGACTGCAACAGGCCCCCACACGATGGGTATTTCTTGGACCAGGTGTTCTCCCCATCAGGACCTGGACACAGAGATCCAAGCTCAAGACTTAGTGAGTTTCTCACAAAGGGTTTTTACTTACCTTCTAATTCTCTGTTCAATACAATTACTCCTTTTTCCCTCTTTTCTGAATCCCCAGAGGTAAATCTTCAAGGCCCACAGTCTCGGCCTCCAGAATCAGGCCCAGCAACCACTCAGGGCCAGCTGCTCCTAAGTGATGTGGGGAACAAGGACTAGAGCTGCTCAAGCCAGAGCTGGGAACCCACCAGACTCTGCTTTATTTTGTACATTGTTCTTATTTGACACACAAGTGAAGACCTGTTGACTTGCAGCAATTCAGCATGTACTTAGTGAGCACCTATCATGAGCCAGGAATCACTCTGGGTCTTGGAGCTGCCAGGTTTTATGCAACAGAACCCCTGCTCATCCAAGCTGGCCTTCTAGCAGGGGAGAATTTAGCAAATTTGCCGGGCCACCTCAAGTGGGAGAAATTAGCATCTTACTAACCACAGCGCCAAGTATTATGTTGGTGCAAAAATAATTGCGGTTTTTGCCATTCCTTTCATGCAAAACCCGTAATTACTTTTGCACCAACCTAAATAGGTCTTTGTGGCTGCTGGCTTTGCAAGGATGGCCTTCCTGATGAGAAACGCCTGAGGACATTGACTCTTGATACTCACGTGTAGAGTAAGTATAGAACCCAAACTGATAGGGGTGCTTTAAAAATGTCAAATAATTATAGGCCTGGAATCACAGAGTGAAGTGCAGGGTTTAGGCCGGGGGTGGGGGTGGGTGGAAATATGACCACACTATAAACTAATTATTATAATATAATTGACACACTATCAGTGAAGAGGAACAGACTTTTAAAAAAGTAATTACTCCAGGGCTCAAGCTTCTTGCTAACTACCAGACAGCAGTTCCTCCACTGGAAACGAAAATAAACATCCTATGTGGTCTTTAAAGAATGTAAATCTATGTTTAAAAGATTATCTCCATGGTAATTAAACAGATTTTCAGGCCAAGGTTTTTCCAGAAAAGCCAAGAATTGGCATGTCACGGCTCCTTAGGGCAGACCCAGGGGTCTGGTGGGCCCTATCAGAGTTGAGGATCCAGTTTTACCATCGGGGGTCTGTTCATCAGTATTTTGACACAAGGAAGGGGGTTAAATAGAGAAAAGGGGAAAGGAACACCACCTCTTCTGGGAATTCTTCCCTAAACTACCGCACTGTTTCACAAGAGTGTAAATGTTATATTCACCCCACAGAACCCCCTACATCATTTTCTCTAACTAGGGGACCATATCTGAGAGTGGGAAGAATCAGAAGTAATACTTGGCACCCAGGTTCATTTAAAATGCTGTGAGGCATTGGTCCCAGGCTTAGTTCTTACTTCTAGGTCCAGACACACACATTGGAACCCTACTGATTTTTCAGGCTGTCAACCTTCGGCTCTGCATTTTCAGAAATGTTAGAGCATGATGGAATTGCAGAACCTCCAGTCCAACCTTTCACTGGACACCAGTCTTCTCACTTGGGCATACCAGAGTCTCCACTGAGCTATACTATTCTTATTTTCTTTCTTTCTTTTTTTTTTTAGATGGTGTTCCGCTCTTGTTGCCCAGGCTGGAGTGCAATAGTGCAATCTCAGCTTCCTGCAACCTCTGCCTCCTGGGTTCAAGCAATTCTCCTGCCTCAACCTCCTGAGTAGCTGGGATTACAGGCACACGCCACCACACCCAGCTAATTTTGTATTAGTAGAGACGGGTTTCTCCATGTTGGTCAGGCTGGTCTCGAACTCCCGACCTCAGGTGATCCACCTGCCTTGGTCTTCCAAAGTGCTGGGATTACAGGTATGAACCACTGTGCCTGGCTACTATTCTTATTTTCAAGGCCCCAAAGCAAATCAACTACACCAAGATGGCAACTAGAAAAGAGGGAGGCTGGAGTACATCAAAGACAGCACTCCAGGGCCAAACTGGAGTAAGACAGTTGTTCAATTGGAGGCCAAACCAAATGCAGGGAGCAGAATGAAGCAACTATGCGGCCTCATGTAGACCCCCGGGGTCAGGAAGAGACACAGCACAGGGTAAGACTCCCTAAGTGAGGCCGCCAGCCTTTTCTGTGCTCACATTACTGCCTGGGCCCACAGCCAGCAGGGCGGAAGCTGCCAGCCAGACATGAATAGAACAACTCAGGAAGTAAAGAACGCAGCAGTGAGAAGCTTTTTCCTTGCGCACGTGACTAAAGGGAACTGCATTAGAAGGGCTTTCTTTTCCCCTAGTGCAAGTTCAAAAGGTTTCGTCAAGAGGGCATTTTAGTGATAGCTACACAAGAGCCTCTAGAAGACAGGTACCCCTTATTTTCATCTCTGTGAACCCATGTTGTAAGTAAGGTCACATGCCTCATGGGCATTTAGGAAACATTCTCCCAGAGAATGAAAAAAAAAGAGGGCTTGGGAAAATGTGACTCGGGGAATGTTTCCTTTTTCTCTTGCCCTAAATACTCTTTTTTGGAAGTTAGGACCAAATGAGGTATTTGGGGGCAGGAAAGACTACGGATATTAAAGGCAACAGAGTTGGTGTTGGCAAAACCTTTCTTGGAAAGAGAAGCAGCTATGTTGGATCGGGGGGTCCAGAGAATGAGATTCCAGCCCCAGCTGGCCCAACACCTCTGTGGGTCATGTTACCTGCTGGAGCCTCCATTGTCCTTTGTACAAACAGTGGAGGTCGGGGTGGTGGGATGGGATATGTGTGGATACTATGTTCTGGAAGTTTCCTTCTGGCTCTTAAGCTCTGATATTTATTAAGAATACTAGGGGCTGGGCATAGTGGCTTACGCCTGTAAACCCAGCACTTTGGGAGACTGAGGTGGGCAGATCATGAGGTCAGGAGATTGATACCATCCTAGCCAACATGTTGAAACCCTGTCTCTACTGAAATATTGAAAAACTAGTGTGATGGTGCACACCTGTAGTCCCAGCTACTTGGGAGGCTGAGGCAGGAGAATTGCTTGAACCTGGGAGGTGGAGGTGGCAGTGAGCTGAGATCATGCCATTGCATTCCAGTCTGGCAACAGAGTAAGACTCCGTCTCAAAAAAAGAAAAAAAATGCTATAACTAATCACCTTCACCATCTATCAGGCAAGTTTGAATGAGTCGGAGAAGCTGCTCATGCCAAGGCAGCTCCTGGACATGTGACGAGGTGCCCAGGAGAACCAGCTTCAGGAATGAGGGCACAGGGCACCAGTGCTCCAGGACTGGCTGGGAGCAGACAGCCACCTACATTAGGAACCTGCCCTGGTCCTGGCTGCCAACCACAGAGGAGCTCGTTCTTAGGCGCCACAGGTCTGTAGGGCAGCAAGGTCAAGAAAGCCTTGTCTCTGCCTCCTCCTTCTCCTCATTATTGTTATTTTCTGGTAGTAGCTTTGATCCTTATAACTCTGTAACCTTATAGGGTAAACAAGGCAAGAATTGTACCATTTTATAGGTAAAAAATGGAGATTTAAGTGATTTGACCAAAGTTTGACTTTGGCTAAGTAACAGTTACCTTACTTGGCTCACAGGACTTCTGTGTCCTTCAGTGTTTTTCTAGGAGATTTTGTGCACCTGGAATTTCCTGCCTCCCCATTGCTCTCCTTGAAGGCAAAGACCATAGCTCACCCATCCCTGGACGTCCCATCGTGCCTCAAACAGGTGTTGAGAATCCAGCTTAGGATTGCCTCGGCAAAGGAACAAGCATGAAACAGGTGTTGAGAATCGTAAGCTGGATTCCTAAGCTGGATTCTCAACACCTGTTTCGTGCTTGTTCCTTTCCCGAGGAAGTGCACACCTGCCTTAATTCCCTTGTATATTTCTTCTTCTCAAAAAAGAGGAGGAAAGGTGAGATCACTTGCCCAGGTTCAAAGCATACCCTCCTAGCTTTCTAGCTTACCTGTGTGCAGATGGGTTCTGTGTGGGGCCACCCATTGAAAAGGAAATCTGATTCTGCCCTGTAGCCTGGGAGATGGCCAGCCAAGGACATTCTTAGGCTCCTCCCCCAGCATGGAATGGCTAGTGTTTGTCCTGGCCTTGCACAGCTGGGGACACTGTCAGAGCAGCCTACTGTCTTTGGGGCGTGTGAGAGACAGAGGTGCCTTGAGGGTGGACACCGGGACAACCAATATCAGAGGTGACGACAGCAGCCCTTTCTGTTCCCTGAGCCGTGACATGTGGCTGCATAGTGCTGGCCTCATGCTGGCCACTACACCCTGGGCTGCACTTTTTCGAGTCAGTCTCAGCTTTCACACTCGTGCCAAGGGCTGCACTGCCAGAAATCCTCCACGGGGAGTGACTCTTCCTAATGAAGCATTTATTCCAGCTACCATAAGAATTTGCCTTTGCTCTTCTGAGTTTTGACTTTGCTTCTCTAGTTGGTGGGACTCCTCCCATGGCTGTGACACAGGAGGACCACGTGCCTCTCACAGTTTGTTTTTCTAGGTAAAACCAAGGCATATTTCTTTCCTGTCTATGAATTTTTTCTGCTCTAGGCAAAACAAATGTGGCCAGAGTCCCTGTTTTGAAAGGTAACAAGAGATTAACAGGGCACAGCTCAAAATGCCTCTGGTGATTTCTGATTGGGAATTATGAGGCCCAGGGTAGGACCTGTATTATTCAAGGGCCAGAATGTTTTTACAGAAAATTTCAAATGTATACAACAGTAGAGAGAGGAGTGAAACGAACCCTACATCACCCAGCTTGGACAGTTTACAATTCACAGCTAGTCCTGCCTCATCTATGCTAACCCCATCCCCTTATCTACCTGGATAACTTGGAAACAAATCCAGATGGGTTTCATCTGTACATATTTCAGTATGTTTCTCTAAAACATAAGGGCTCTTAAAACCACAGTACCATGACTACACCTAGAGAGTTAACAATCAATACCTTAAGATTATCAAATCCACTCAGAATTTAAATTTTTCCAAAGAAGTCGTAACTTTTTTTTGAGAAGGAGTCTTGATATGTTGCCAGGCTGGAGTGCAG